CCAAGCACCTGGTTCCTCTGAGGTGTCGTGAGTCATGCCATGCTGTTGACGTTGTAGTGTGAATGATTCAACCAGGTATGGGGGTGCATTTTATAGGGCTGGTCCCGGTGAACAGCATGTGCAGCATGAGCTACATGAAAATCATGGAGAACACATTACCATGGAAGCAGGGATGTGCCCAGAAAAATATTCATGCCAGGCGGTAATCTTCAGCAGAAAATTATCGTGTTTTTTTCGATCGAAAACGCGCAATTTCATGAGTCCAGGGGTCAAAATTCATGACGGCACCGCGCCGTAGTATTTAGCGAAATTACCATAAAAAAATAAAAAAGAACTACAGCGGCATGTTTAGCCGTGGTAATTTATTTCAGAATATGACGACGGCAATTTGCCAATGTTGACACTGAAACCACTGTTGTATACCTGCATAATCCACGGCATAATCGAAAATAGGAATTTATTAATTATTGTTTTGTTTCTTTCCTGAGTTCTCGTGACTGTATTTTTCTATTCAAAACACAAGTCGGCATTCGTTCAGTCGTACCATGGAACGTACGATCCATTGTCATATGCCTACTCAGATGGTTGGAAGTCAGGTAGCACTAGCAACCAATTTTATAACTATTATATATTTCACACTGACCATCTACGCATGTTTTCACCTGTTTGTCACTAGTTTATAGCATTATGATTTATGAAGTATTTATTTCTAAATAAATATTCCCCCAAGTCATCTGACCTAATTCTACCGTAACGTCACATGCTGGTGAATGGAATGGAGATGCACACGGCTCGTTGACTAGTTTATTTAATCATTTAAATAGGTCAAAACAATTTCCAGAAATAACAGCTATGAATAATTTACTGGAAAATATCAAATCAAATAATTAGATCGGGAAAATATATCATATAAATTAATATAATATAATTTTTAGCGTAAATAAAGACGTGACATGAGAAAGGAATTCCAGGGGGCGTTACATGTCCGCCGCACGAAGTTCATGTAATATAATGTCATGCACATGTGTGAAATCGTTTTTTGATAATCAAATTACAGTATTACGGATATTTTATAATCGGAATTCAACACCTCAACGGTGAAGTATTCATTTAAAACGCTAGTTTGGTACCATGATACTTATATTTGGTGGAATTTACGTGGATACGGATTATAGAATTGCGCGAATCTATAAAAATAGTTTAAATAGCAAAAATAGTTGTCTGCTAGTGCTTTTTTTAAACAATAACGGTGCAGTAGGCTAGTTTAACCAGACATGCTAGTTACATCACACTGATGTGACCAGTTAAAAGAGTCTAAATATCAGATAACTCTGTGCGTCAAATAAGAAATATTTCGTCGAAAATGAACGTTATATTTAGATATCTATGATACGAGGCCAGTTTGACGCAAGTCAAAATAATTTATTCAATTTATGAGGTTAAAAGCAACAAATAAAAACGCTTTTACCAATTTAGATTATCTTTATTTACAAGAAAATGGAGGTGGCGTGGGCAGAAATCTGCTTCAAGATATTTTTGCCGGGCGGACAATATTGGTGCCACCCGGTAATTGTAATAGTTGGCACATTCCTGTGGAAGTCGGGTTGCATTTTTTGAAAATATTTCCTGGGTTCAATTCTGTGTTTGGGAAGGAGCCGTATTGCTCATGTAAAGTTGGAGATGTGGTCACTAATATACAATAAAAACATTTGGCAAGTTTTATGCAATGCGTCTATCCAGAGTATTATACAAACCTGACGTTTCTTTTGCTGCTTAGTATATAGATATACTCTTCAAAAAAAGTAGGGGATATTGAAATGCAAATACCTATGCAGGAAGTTGTGATATGACATGCTTTGAGAGTATGTTCACAGATGAAGAACTTATCGCCCCAACAGAACAACTGAGCTGCATGTGTGACACGCAATAGCACCATACACGTGGGAGGGGTTCATTGTCAACCCCTGCCGCTTGCTGGTTTATCCTATCCATGGTTGCTTTCCTATCGGTTCTTGCATAAGATTTACTGTTTAGCGTATCTTTGCTTTAGTGTGTTACGCCAACCGACAACACTGCAAGAATTGGCTGTGGCACTGCAAGAGGAGTGGGTCTGATTGCCCCAAATCGTGATTGGACGGTTGATTAGGAGCATGCCATGACGAATTACTGAATGTCTGAGGATTGGTGGAGCAATTACTCATTATTAAGACAAAAATCAAAAACGTCCATTTTGACAGTGTATCTCTTTGCGAGTGAAATGGGTACATCATATAAGCCGCCCATATGAACTGTTTATGTTCATGTGTAGGCAATTGGCCTGTTATTAACATACAATGGTTACCTCTAATAAAAGCAGCAGTGCATTTCCACATTTTTGTATTGTTTCTGAATATCTCCTACTTTTTTTTGAAAATTATTTATATGGTGAAGGGGATTTTTGATTTATCTGACTCCAGTTATTTCTTGATAGTCTTTATACATAAAACTATTCTTTGTGCCTAACGTTATGTACATCAGCATTTTTAATTAATTCTCCCAAACATATTATTTAATTGCACAACCTTAAATTATTTCATAATGTTTATATGAATATATGATTATCGAGTATCATTTATCAGGGTTGCATACTTGATAATTTAGCCTACGGTACATTTTCGGATTCATTCAGATATGTGTCATTCGGTTCTTAAAGATACATTCCTGCATACAAACTTTGTGATTTGATGATATATTTGGACTAAAAACATATTCAAAGTAACCAATCTATCAAAAATTTGCTTTAATTCCCTCTCAAAACTTTGTATTCGCTGGGAATACCTATAGCTTATAAGCAAGCTGTTTTTAGACGCAATGTCTGTCAACTTAACTTCATTGTGGGAGGGTCCATTTTTCAGAATGTAATTATCATAACTTACTGTACATTTACCATATATATTGAGGCCTAAGTAAATTCTTAATTATTTCTGTCAACTTCTTTTTCTGCCGTTTATTTGCAGAGTCTTTTGTACGTTGACACCCCTTAATGTTCCCAAAACCGCCTAACCATTTGATCAAGAAATAACAACCGCTCCCTCACTTAAAGGTCACCGAAAAGCATCAATTTTTTTTTTTAAATAATGCAAGTAATTATGTCAACATATCCTTTCCATAAGTATAACACGAACCCGAATGTCAATATTACCTGCAACAGGTAAATTTCAACGTTAGCAATTTCCGCCATTCTCCGTGGGTAGTCGTAACTTTCCGTAAATGTGACGTCATTTTAGTCCTTCTGCTCATATTCTAGTCTATATTTCTATGTGCAGAAGGACTAAAATGACGTCACAGATTGCTTATTGACGGAAAGTTCCGACTACCGACGGAGAACGGCGGAAATTACTAATGTTGAAATTTACCTGTTGCAGGTAATATTGACGTTCGGGCTCGGGTTATACTTATGGAAAGGATATGTTGACATAAATACTTGCATTATTTAAAAAAAAAATTGATGCTTTTCCGGTGACCTTTAAGCTGGCACACAATAAGCTGGCAGATAACAGTCGGGTTGCCAGTTAGTGATACCCTGACAATTTTGCCCATTGCTTGCCCCATGGCCGTTTTTCGGGTAATCCAGTATTTTTCTAGTAAGATTGGGTGTCTATACTTTCCACCAAATTTGACATACTTTTATTGGAAAGAACCACCAGATAAATACTTTTCTGGGAAAGTATCTTTAAGTGGGAGTCATGGTGGCTTATTGAGTACGACGTTAGTTCGCTAACCTGGAGGTCCCATGTTCAAACACTGCACTGGCTGAGAAAGTTCATCTGGATTTTCCGACATGGTTCCTCCTTGTCAGTGGTGCAGGAAAGAGGGCCTGGTAAGGGACAATGTATAGTCGTTCGGATGTGATGAAAAACCAAGGTCCCGTGTACACATTGGTGTACACGTAAAAGACCCTTTAACAGAATTCGATATAAGAGTAGCACACCGTATGGCATATGTGACTGGTGATAGCAAAATGAGAGAGATTAAGTTGCACAAGTAGATTTCTAATTATACGCTAATTTGTATCCGAGTGCAAAAATTTTCAAAATTTGTTGTTTGACCATTTTTGAATACTTTATTATGTTAAAATTCAGCCTGGCACACTTTACTAGCAAGAAAACATCGATAAAGGGTAGAAATGGGGGCAATTAGTTAACACTCAGTAGTTTACTCAAAGTAGATGTGTAACAAAGCTATAATTGACCAATTTTGCCACATAATGTAGCCATTTTGTCGAAGGAAGCCCTGCATGTAACCTATACCAAAACAACCGGCGAAGTCCCCTCTTCTATTTATATAGTACACCACTTACTCAATGAAAGACCTTATGATCTAAAGCACAGACATGAGACCACACAACCAACCCCCCAGTTGCTGCATATTAAACCACAGTATTTCCTAAGCACTACATACCTTATGTTCTCTGCATGGTCGACAGATCCTTTTGGAGTACCGGCAGCATATAAAGGACATTAATGTACTCTTAACTGTTAGCCATATAAAAAAAAATCTGGTTTTCAGATACTGCTGCATCACTTAAAAAGAGCTCTGTGACCTACTTTTATTTGTCAATACAGTATTATTAGGCTTTAGAGATAGACTTTACCAAAATTATCTTGAAACTATTTTCAAGTTTACATTTGTACCAATATCTTGCATACCTTGTGCAAATGCTATTGTCACAGGAATACAAATTGCATACCACATTGACTACTAAAAATTAGAGAAAACATTGTTCCACGATTTCTACAACAAGAAACTAGAAAGTATGATTATGTTAAATAGATGAAATGAAAATAGGTTTTGTTGGTTAATAAGGGATCAGCGATATTGGTATGAAACATTTAAATCAATTTATGACAATGGTTGATTAACCTATCATGCACAAATAATAGGTGCAGTGTTTAGGATTACTGTACAATCACAATATTGAGCGGAGACTTTTTATAAAAACATATATTTTGTTTCTATAGGCAGGAAAGATCCGGTTTGGGCCCCCATCACCATTTTTATTACCCCTGCAGCAAGAGTTCACACAGAGTTGTAACGGATCACGAAATACTACACTTGTTCACTTTACGGCTTAGGTACATGTCACTTTTTTTGTTTCATTAGTTAGTTTTAGATGTGTGCATGAATTATTTGTTTTAGTTAGCAGTAATTTGCTTTTTTATATGCCCACATTTTCATGTGATATAAAATAATTAATTTGTTGATTAAGGTTTTAATTAAATTACTTTCTTTGTTTAACTTCTTTGTCCAAGTTACATGTAGTTATTATGTCGAAGGACCGACGATCAAAATGCTGTCGGGCAGTACCTGCACGTTTTACAGATGTATTAGAAGTTTCTGAACCTGATTCGGACGCCGGTGCAGGACAGAGAGAGAATACTTATAATAATGAAAATGGAGACTTGGCATTCACTCGGCTGGCCACGGAATGTCCGCTCTCATACAACACAATGGCGACTTTGGTCCAAATGGGATTTGATTGTATTGAGGCCCTGGCTCTGTTGGAAGTGGAAGATCTCGCCGACGTAGATATCAGTAAAGGCCAAAGAAAACTCTGCTTGTTTGCGGCACGGAAAGCGGCATTGGTTCAGACACAACAAACAGAAGCACAAACCAAATGCCGCGAAAATTCGGCGGGCCCGGATGTAGCACGCGTCAATATGGCGGAGGATGTAAATATGCAGCAGTTAATTGAAAAACTGTCTAACAATATGAGAGGCGGGGGCGAATGTTCCGGTACAGGTTACAGGGGACAGCAGCAATCAAGCCCTCCCCCCTCTCGTCAACGATGTTTCATGGAATGACCCACAGATTTTCCTACGAAAGGCGGCCACGCAAGGTAAGATTTTCCTGGACGTTGTTGATTTTATCCCCCACGGACCATTCTCGAATGTCGAGGACGACAATTTCACTTTGAGCCAAACGACAGCGGGAGGCAATGATCTTGTTATCAAGAGAGCACACCCAAGGAAACCCAAGCTAGAAACCATGACGATCCCTCAATGATGTCTGGTGAACATTGCCATCCAGGTCAATTTTATGGATTCGACCTGTGTGAACATTAAAGACTATCACAGATTTTGGAACTGGATTTTCATTTTATTCTACGATAGGGAATACCGGCAGCTCCAGGCTAACCATGACTTCCGATGGGGTGTCATGGTCACCCACCTACAAACTTTGCAGCCCCAACCAAAGGCTACCGGTAGTAGTCATGCAATGGGAAAATCGGGGAACGGAAAGCGCTCTATAAATGGGCCATCACACAGTGTTTATGCCCCTGCAGGAGAGGTAATTTGTAGAAATTACAACTCCTGGCGGGGATGCAGCCTTTCGGAGTGTAGGTTCAGGCATGTGTGTTTTATACCCGGGTGTTTTCAGTCTCACTCCGCTGCTACACATGCGCCGGCTCGTCCAGGGGCCGTGCGCAGTGTCAAACAACTACGAATAGGGGCTGTGCGGAAAAGTGGCATCCATACTGCAATACATGTGTGGGAGGCCTACCTTCAGGACGATGTAGATGAGGACTTTTTACTGTCTGGTATTTCTGTCGGGTATTTCCCACGGCTTTGATATTATTGACAAAGATGCCACTCCACAGCCCATCGAAAACGACAACCACAAATCTGCAAATATGTCTAGCCAACTGTTTGATCTAGATACAGATGCCATAGGAAAAGAAATAGACAATGGAAACTATATTATAGCGGACACCAAACCACCATAGTGAGTCTGATCGGGGTTATCCCCAAATCCGAAGGCAATGTTTGCTTAATTCGCGACTGCAGCTTACCGCCAGGCGCAGCGGTCAATGATTATGTGTCTGACTTTGATCATCACCGGTTTCAGACCGTTGACTTTGCAGCGGCACTGGTGCAACAAGGTTTTTATATGGCAAAGTGCGACCTGAAATCCGCGTATCGTTCTGTGCATATTAGCCCTGCTAGTAGAAGGATCACCGGCTTTAAATGGTGGATAAACGGGTGTTGGTGCTACTTATATGACACTAATCTCCCTTTCGGGGCCAAATAGAGCCCAGGAATTTTTCATCGACTAACCCAGGCAGTGCGTCTCATAATGTGCCGTCTTGGATATCCAAATATGGTGGTTTACTTAGATTTTTTTGTGTGTTCCCGCTCAAGGGAATCCTGCGTAGAGGCCCTGGCCATCCTCATTACCCTACTTCGCTCTCTTGGCTTAGCGATCAATTGCCAGTGTTTACCATTCCTTGGAATTGAGATAGACTTGGTCGCCATGACCCTGAGACTACCCCCTCAAAAACTAGAGGACCTAAAATTCGTGCTGGACAAGACTTTAGAAAAGAAATGTATCTCAGGAAAATTACATTTTGCAATTTTGCAAGCAGTGTTATATGCGGCGGGCGAGTATTTTGCCGCCGTCTCCTGAACTGCCTGAATAACCTCAAGCACCACCGCACACGCATTACGGGTCAGTTGCTGGCCGATCTACTGCGGTGAAAGCATTGCCATTGCCTTGTTTCCTTTAATGGCAAAACTCTATTGTTATCGCGGTTTCCAGTGACATCCATCGTGACCGATGCCTGTACAGAAGCAGGGGGTGGATTCTATAATGGTGACTGGTTTTTCCTTCATTGGGATAGTGATTTCCCTTAAGTGGCAGATATGCATATAAACTACAAAGAGACAATGACCGTGATTGCTTTCTAATAAACGGGTCACTATTTATACGGACAATACTTTCACAGGCGCATGTGTAAATAAGGGCACTTGTAGATTCAGCCCTCTGGTCATGCATGCTCTTCGCCATCTCTTCGCCATCTCTTTTGGCTGTCCTCAATTTTTAATTTTTTTTTCATATTCCAAGTGTGGAAAATGGGTTGGCCGACAGCATTTCGTGCATGCACGACCACCACCATTTTCACCACCCCTTCTTAGGTGACCTACCCTCCCTGTGTAGCTCACTCCAAAATTTGTCTCCAGCTGCCCTTTATTTTGTTTTACAGGGTCACAATGTAGGTCCGAATTCCTGAGTTGACTAGATGCCCAAGTCGCCTTTTTCAACACGAAAGCCTTTGCTCCAAATACCCAGAAGACTTATCTCAACCAGCTGCATACTTATTGGAACTTTAGCTGTATAGGCGGCTTCTCCCCGCTAATTATTACCTGTAACAACTCACTGCGGTATATAGCTCACCTTAGCAACACCCTTTGTTGTGCCCCGCCTTTCGAAGAAAGCAGGGGACTATTAAAATGGGTTCGTCTGTCTGTCCATCCGTCCGTAACACTTTTTGGGACACAATAACTCTTTCTAATTGAGCTAGAATGTTCAAAACTTGGTGTAGGTGTTTATTAGGTCAATGGCTTGATGGAGTTCGAAGATGAGCATTTTTTGTTTAGGGTAAGCAGAGACAAGCAATTTGATTGGTTGATGCTTTGGGACACGATAACTTTAGTTCTATTTACGTAAGAGTGATGAAACTTGGTGTATAGTTTCATTACATCAATACCTTAACTAAGTTCGATAATGAGAATTTATAACTCAGGATAAGCAGAGCTATAAGCAATTTGATTGGCCGAGACTTTGGAACCACAATAACTCTCCTTCTAATTGAGCTAGAATGTTCAAACTTGGTATAGGTGTTTGTTAGGTCAATGCCTTGATGGAGTTCAAAGATGAGCATTTTCTGCTTAGGGTAAGCATAGATAAGCAATTTGATTGGCTGATGCTTTGGGACACGATAACTTTAGTTCTTATTAAGTGAGAGTGATGAAACTTGGTGTATAGTTTCATTACATCCGATCAATACCTTGACTATATATATAAGTTCGACAATGAGCATTTTCTGCTCAGGGTAAGCAGAGCGATAAGCAATTTGATTGGTCAAGATTTTGAAACACAATAACCCTCCTTTTAATTGATGTAGAATGTTCAAACTTGGTGTAGGCTTTCATTAGGTGAATGCCTTGATGGAGTTCGATGATGAACATTGTATGCTTACGGTAAGCAGAGATAAGCAATTTGATTGGCTGATGCTTTGGGGCACGATAACTTTGGTTATAAGGAAGTGAGAGCGATGAACCTCCGAATATAGATTTATTATATCATTACCTTGACTAAGTTCGATGGTGAGAATTTTCCTCTTAGGCTAAGAAGCGATAAGCAATTTGATTGGTCAAGACTTTGGAACATAACAGCTCTGCTTTTAATTGAGGTAGAATGGTTAGACTTGATGTAGATGTTCATTGGGTGAATTCAATGATTAACATTTTGAGCTTAAGCTAAGCACAGCTAATCAATTTCATTGGTCAATGCTTTGGGACAAGATAATCTTGATTCTATCTGATAGAGAGTGATGAAACTTAGTGTTTAGTTTGATTGGTCGATACTTTTGAAAAAAATAAATTTGCTATTAATTAACATGTCATCTATTTATTTTGGGATTTTGGCGGGGGACATCAGCCTCACTGTTGGCTTGTTTCAATTCAGTTATGGTTTATCTAAATATTGTCCATCTAGTCCATCTACAAGCTGGGTTGCCTAACACCCTAGACTCCTGGCATGTATCGATTTTGCTCCAAGGAGTCCGCAGGCACCTTGGGTAGGCTACAAAACCCAAACTGGGGATTACCCGACATTTTTCGCAAAATATGCAGGTGCCTAATTTTTACGTCGGCCTTGGATCTAACGTTCTGGGCAGCCTGTCTTGTAGCGTTCTTTTCCATATTCCGAAAATCCTGATACTTGTACTTGCGTTAATTGTTTACGCCGCGCTGATTTCCATTTTTATACGCCCAGATTTTCATGTGGACGTATATTGTCGTCGCCCCTGTCCATCCGTCCACAATTGTTTGTGAACACTCTAGAGGTCACAATTTTTATCCAATTTCAACGAAACTTTAAATATAGGTTTATCACCCTAAGATTTCGGTTCCTTTCGATATTGGCATGTATCAGACTGTAACTTCATGGATTATGGCCCTTGATTGTACGAAAAATCACGTTTTTAGCTTGTGAACACTGTAGAGGTCACAATTTGTATCCGATTTGGTTTAAACTTGAAATGTATGCTTATAACCCAAAGATCTCGTTTCCT